AAAAGGGCATATGTAGACCAAAAGTTGGACGGCGAGGGTATAAATGGACCAATCTTTAAACGCAGGGTATATCTAAACCTTTTCAAATAGTTTAGGGGCATATTTGACCCTTCTCCCAACTTTAAAAGACTTGAGTTCATTTCGCATGTATAATAATACTTCACATATGTAGTGTATCTTTAAAACCAATAACACTGTAATATAATAAAAATTTTCTAGTCAGAATTGAAAAATATATAGTGAAATCGTGTCTCATAAGTTCAAACTATGTTTCAGACATGAAAGAGGTTCAAGATTTAGAAGACTTGTGTTCATTTTGGTTTCAAGAAAAGTCACATTTATATTCTAGATCTATTTATTAAAGTTGAAGTTTTATATACCGTCATCATAAATAGTTTTTTTTTTTTTACATTGGTCATCATCAAGTTGTTTAAATGATATCTACACGCAATTATCCTTAAAATATGATATCGAAGATCTTAAAAATAAAGTATGTTATCTGCTACAACAAGTAATAATAATTTCATTTAGTGTGTAAAAATTGTTCACATGGACAATACATAAAACTTAAATTTCTTTGTTTATGTAGTAGTGTGTGTAAAGATTCATGCTCATATGAACCATACAACTTCTTTTCTCTTCAAAACAACATAGGTTGAATGACGTTGTAGGTGAAATGACCAGAGTTTGACTAATTTTTCTATCACACAATACGTTGAGTGACTTTATAGATAATTATATCATTAATTATGTAGCTTTTAATTTTGTTTTATGACTAATTTTTCTATCACACAATACGTTGAGTGAATTTATAGATAATTATATCATTAATTATGTAGCTTTTTATTTTGCAAAACAAAATTATTAATTAAGCGACCATATGATAACTATAATTATGTAATACAAGGACTTTTAATTTGACTTAGTACAACACCATTAACCAAACAAGCACACTAAATTTCATGTGCTATTAATTTTTACCAAATTTTCTAAACAATAGGATATGAAGCCATAGTAGCTATCCTACAAAGACCATCATTATTTCCAATATCTCTAGCAATTTTCATGTAACCATTTTCACCCCAACTAGACCCCCATGAATTCTTAATTAACCAATATTTTGTACCATTTTCATTACTCGTACCGTAACCAATTATTGTAACGGCATGATTAACTTCATCACCACAATTTCCATCATAAACTCCACTTTTATATAACTTAAACTCTTCATTCACCGCGATACCCACCGATATAGGTTGTCTCGCCACCGCAGTTAGCAACATTGGTTCATTTGATGGAGGTAACGTCTCGTAGCTACTCATTTTTACTATTGAGTCTTGAATCTTGCATGAATCTTGATTTTCTTCGTAAGGGTAGCTCGATTCTTCTGCGATACCATTATTTTTTACGATGTAATCGTAAGCCATGGTTATTAATCCGCCGTTACAACCGTTGTTTTCGGTTGAACAATCTAACAGTTGTTGCTCGGAGAGTGAAATTAATTTCCCCGTTGAGAGTTTGTTTGCTCCTTCTAAGGCCGCGACCGCGGAAAATGCCCAACAACATCCTATAAAGGACAGAAATCACATATTTTTAAGGGTAAAATTATCATTTGTATCTTATAAGTTTATAATTACAGAAATCCCTCAAACTGATACACAATAATATAAGCGCTGATATATTAATCTGATGCGTGAAATACATTAATCGTTAAGTAAGATACATTACATTTTATACACGATACTCTAATCTGATGTGCAATGCGCGGGATACATTAATTTGATTCATTGATATACATTAATCTGATACTTAAAAATGAGAAATTTGGAAAATTTGTAAAACTAATTGGGGATAATGGTAATAAGAGAACTTAAAGGTGAGATTTTTGTGTTTTGAGTTTAAATCTTTTATAGGCTAACGATAACGATGTAAAATAATAAATATACATATATAGTGGCTATAGGATGATGGATTATACCCTAGTGAAAATGGAATTAATTAACCTACTATATATAATAGGCTAATTAAACCACACCAATATTGTAAATCGTTACCGATTTAACTTAATTTCTTCTGTCTTAATTTATATAATGTACTTTTACTGAAGATGAAGTTTAACAACAAAAAAAAAGAATTCTATTAAAATTTGTGATTTCAAATGCAAAATATTGATATTTCTACAGCGATAAACCATTTATTAAGAATAAAATAAGAAGTACAAGCTAGGTAAGTTCAAATATAGAGACGTCATTTTCTTGAAACTGACTAAAAAATATGGCATATAATTGAGACAGATCGGATATTTAGCAAGAAGAGAATATGAAATCAAAAAAGTAAAGAGTGTATAAGTAGAGTCAAAAGTTTTCTTGAATAGGGAAATTGTGACTTACCACATTGACCTTGATCTTTGATGCTAGTGACAACACCACTCTTTCTCCAATCCATTTCAGATGGAACATCACTTATATTTTCATACTTGAATGATGAAATTGTTGTTGGAGATAATTTTTGTGATTTTATAGAAGAAAACTTACTATTAAGTCCATGATTAGTAGTATAATACCTCATGAATTCCTCAGAAGTAAGATCAGTAAATTTATTGATACCTAATTTATATGATTTACTATCATTATTGTTGAATGACTCAATAAATTTCACGTTCTTCGTGAAGATATTCAATCTTTTTGCCTTTTCTATATCATTTTTGTAAGTTCTTCCATGTCGCGCCATCCACGACTCGTGTTTTTCCACCATGGAGGTTGAATCTTGACTACAAGTGACTTGAGATGCATACATCCCAACAATCATAAAGAGAAGGGTGAATTGTGTTTTCCATTCAAGAACCAAAGCCATAATTACAAGAAAATACCTAGGCAAAATAATTGGTTTTTTTTTTAATTTTGTTATCGTAATAAGATATAATTAATGATGTCCTTTGGTCTATATGGGGCTATTTATAGGGATGTTACAAATATGGTTCTTTACGCAAATGTCCTCTTTTTTTTGGTTATTATTTAGATTTTGGTCCCTATTATGACAATTATTGCAAACTTAGCCTTTGAGTCGGGATTGATAAAACATTAAAGTATCGTCTTACATTTACAAAATTTTAGAATGTAATCTAATATTTTTTCATAAGACTTTTACGGGGCGTTTGGTAGGCTGTATTAAAAGAAATAATTCATGTATTAGATGTGGTATAATTTAATTCTGTGTTTGGTAGGAATGTGAGCCTATGTATAACTAATCCATAGATAGTTAATACATTCTACATGATATTATGTGATGTATTACTAATACATTTCATTTGGAGGTATTAGCTCTAATACCACGTGACTATTCTAGGTAAAGACAAAAATACCCCTCAAATCCTTTTAATATTTTATTTATTTTTTTGATTTTATATTTATACTAATAAAGTTATTTAAATAAATTAGCTTACAAATTTTATTATTTAGATGTAATTTTTTGTTTCTAAAATATGAATTACTCAATCTATTTATTATTAATATAAAATATAATAATTCGACTAATATGTTAATGTTGAGGTATGAATTTAAGAACAATTCATAAGTAAAATATTGTCTCTTAATGAAAGTTCATTAAACATTATACAAGTAATATAAAACAAGAGTGTGTGTGTTTATATATATATACACACACACATCTCGAGTATAATAATAGTTTAATTTATTTTTCTATATTTATTTTTATTTTTGTTTTATTTTATGATAAAGAGTTTTTTAAAATTTATTGATACAAAACAAAGTTCAATAAATTTTCTCTATAATCATTATAGTTGTGTCATGTGTGACCATTTGAGTTATTAACTCTAATTTATTAAGATGACAATTATTTACTCTCAAATAATTTAAGTGAGAAAATAGTGGACATTTTTATTCTCCTAACTAGTTAAAAATGTTATTAAAAAAATAATATTCTCCGTTAATTATCTACTTTGACTCAATTACATAAAATACAAAATCTCATAATAACTCTAGGGTATAATTGGAAAATTCTTTTTAAAAAACTTTTAAACCACACACAAAATTAAATAAGAAACAATAAACCAAACACTTGATAAAAATAATTCATGCATTACTAATTCCTGCATTATTCATTTTTGTTCAAACGACCCCTCAGTTTTTGCAAAAGAGATCCTCACATTGTGGTGAAGGGTTTAGATAAAAAAATGGTCAAAGAATACTCTTAACATATTAAAATTTTGTCTGCTTTATTTTTTCCTACAAAACCACAAACGATTAAATATATTTAACACTATATTATAAAGTTTTTTTTTCCTTTTCAACTATCAATATAATTTTTTTTAATATTATTATTACTTGAAAAGGAATTCCAAAGAAAATGGATTGGATGTTCACATAGATCTATAGGAAATTAACAACCTTTGCAGGATGAAATAGGAAATTAATTTCCTTTAGATTGAGAGCTACTATGGTCCACTTCTATACCTTCTTATAAAAATCATTAATTTTAATTTTTCTATGATGATAGAGACAAGACCTAACAAGTTTCAAATGTTAAAAAAAAATTCAATAATGTCCAGTCACATATCTTCATATAAATTAAAATAACTTTTTCATGATCATATGATTATATGGTGTATATTATATACTATTAATTTTATAGCGGATTAATTTCAACAAGCCTTTCACATTAGTACAGTTAGTAATCAACTTCATAGCTTCTTCAACAAACACAAGTTTATCTATCAAGTTTTAAACGAACTTTGAGTCAGATCGTGCATTTCAAATATGAAGTCTCATTCTAAGATTTAAATAAAGGTGCTATTGAGATAAAGTCAGAGTGTTATTCAGATTGACAAGGCCAATCGATTCATAACCTCTCGAGCTCAACTACTATAATCATGCAAGATTGATGATTGAGGATCCATACAGAGTTTTACAAATTAAAATATCTATCGAGAAACATATACTTTCTTCAGGAAATATGAATATCTTATGATAACTGAAACAAATCAAGTTAAAATTACATATTAAAATTTTGAACTGATCAAATATCGTCATTTAAAAAAATAGAGAGTGGACTGACATTAAATTAATTTTTTCTCTTTATCGCGTAAAATGTAAAATGTGTTTGTGCTATTTGATCAAAGTCCACAAAGAAGTGTAAACAAGTCAGTCTCTTTGTGCCTTTTAATCAACATGAATGTGTAACTTGTTTTATAGTCAGATTCTCTTTTTTCTTTTTTTTTACTTCATAAAAGTAATACAAAATTTCAATTTATTTGTCGTAACTAAAAAGATATATACAACTATATATATGTTTAGTTGGATCACAACTCAACATTCAATTAAGTGCCTTGTTAAAACACAGGACTAACAAATAATATTTGATAACGTTTTAATAAAATTATATATAAAATATATAAACACCAACTATTTTTTCTGGCAAATTCAAATCTAACCCGCTTAATCCATCCAACCTATTTAAGCTGGCAGTTTATTGATCCGTTATTCATTAGCTCAATTCATTTCAATTCATTAAAATTGGATCGATATAGTTTGAATTGGTCATGAGAAATCTTGTTAAAATACTTTTAACATACTTTTTTTCAATTTTTATGTTATATATAGCCATAATAAAGAAAAACAATAATTTTCTAGATACTAAAATAGTTTAAATGAATAAATAAAACAATTAAGCTACGTAAAAATTAGATTGTTTTGGGTCATTACCCGTTATTAGTATGTTACCTAACCGTTTTGATCCAAGCAAATTTGAATTTGGTTGAATCTTTAACTTAATTATTGTGTTAACTCATTATCACTCCTAATAAGATACCTTAATACTCCAAAATACATATTATTTTATATTTTATAATAGGGATAATGCATAAGTATCTCCTCAATCTATGCCCGAAATTCTAGAGACACACTTATACTATGCTAAGGTCCTATTACCCCCCTGAACTTATTTTATAAGTAATTTTCTACCCCTTTTTAACCTACGTGGCACTAGTTTGAAAAAAAGTCTATGAGATTTCAAGCATAGGTTGAGGGGACATTATCCCTTTATAATAAAAATACATTTAACTTTAAAAAGTTTGACCAAATTAGGTGACTCAAATTGTAATAAGATAAAACTTCATATAATTAACCAATTAAACTACTAAAATTTCTCTTCGGATTGAATAAGTTATGTCAATTAACTGAATTATTTCTTTGCGAAAATTGCGCAAAATGTGAAAAAGTGTAAGAAATTATCCAATTTCTAAAAGCTGAAAGGAACGTGTCTTGGAAATTGTGACATTCCTTACTATATTTAACAACCTTTTGTTTCAATCACTAAAAATTCTAATATCTGTGACTTGTGAAGTATAGGTTAAAAATATAGTATGTATCAATTGTATTTAATTAAATATAGGTGAGAGTTTTATATTTTGTATCAATTATTCTTAGAAAATATTATATTTGTATTTTATATCAACTGTATATGTAATTATATGAATTTAAGGTGCATTCGTCCTTTCTGTCAAGTGTAATATGTATCCATTATATCCAATCAAGTGTAAGTGAGAAATTTAAATTTTATAACAATTCATATTTGAAAAACTAAATTTATATTCCACTGTATTTATATTTGAAATATAATGAATACAACATGTATTCATCCCCTCTCCTCTCTCTTTTGCTTTTACTCGTCTCTCTTTCCCTCTCTTGATCTCCCTCGCCTTTCTCCTACTAATATGTATTCATTTTGATAAAAATCAGTTTGTAGTTGTATTTTTTCGAAATTTATGAAAAATACAATGAATACAAATGTGTTAGCAAATAAAAGTAGAGCTATGAATGATAATTGAGGAAAGACTCGAAATAGTCCCTCGCTTTTGGGTTAAGGTTCAAAGTGATCATTGAGTTTTCACATGGAGTATTAAGTCCCTCATGTTTTCAATATCGGTGCACTTTTGGTCCTCCCCTAAGATTTTGCCTATTTTTTAACATTAATTTTGTCCAAAATTTTATATAAGGAATGTCCAATCGTCTTTATATATATATATATATATATATATATATATATATATATATATATATATATATATATATATATATATATAT